GGGCGGTGAGGGGGCCCGGGTGCCAACAGGAAGCCCTGGAGCGCTGGGCATGGAGCAGCGCGGGGACACTTCAAATTTGGGGTGGTTTTGCCATGTTCCCGCCTGGAGGAGGGGGGCAGAGATTTGGGGGGAACGGCACACGGGGTGGCAGGAGGAGGGGGCGAGCAGAGCGCCGTCTAAGCTCCTTCCCAAGCAGCCGGCTGTCCCCTGCCCACCCCCGGGAGCGACCCTCCGCGCTCTGACCGCTGCCCAGGGGTGTGTTTTATGTCTGAAGTCTCTCCCGGACTTCCAGTCCCTCTGCCCTCGACATAGTCTATTCCCGTGCCAACCGCGCAAGACGCGCGAAGTCTGAAGCCCGCGGTCTTGCCTTATTAAATCCTGGCCAATTAGTTTTATTTCTTTTCTTTTTTTTCAAAGCATTTCATATGACTTATGTAAGGAATAATATTGTATATTTTCTATTTGGGTCAATGTACAGACTAAATAATTATATTTCATTTCTGTGCACATAATAACTCCCCTACACACACACACACCCCGCTCCCAGTCCGGGTCCCCGCTGAGACTTCAGACAGCTTGCTACTCTTTTCTGGCCTCAGTGTCCACGTCTCTCCACCTTTGATAAGCCAATCCCCCCACCCCCCGGAGTTGGCCCCCTATTCCAGGGGCCCTAACCAAGGTAGGGTCCCGCTGCCCATCGGTTGGGGTGGTGTCACCCAGCAGGGAGGGGGCTGGTGCACGCGACCGGCCTCCAGGATGCGAGGTAGACACCGCAGCCTGGGTGACTCCTAGGCGAACGGAGCGCGGCCGCCCCCGAGCGCGCCTCGGCCACCCCCGCATCCAGACGCGCGCCCGGCCTCCCTTCAACCACATGTGTCTCCGCAGCGGCCCCTATTGGCCGCTCCTAGTACACGGCCCCGCCTGGGGCCTCAGTCCTGGTCTTTGCGGTCATTGAGTAAACGCCTGCCATGTGCTAGGGCCTGACTCTCCTCTGTGGGTAAATGTAAGGATTCCTGGGACCCCGAGGCTGCTGGTGACCAGTCTTGCCTGAATGTATAGAGCTGGGCCGCCTGCGTCCGGCATGCCCTTCCCAGGCTGGGCGGCTGGCCAGGGTCCCCTCCAACTCCCCCTCACACCCCTCCCCTGGCACTTACTGCGGAAGTTGGGTGAATCCTGGGACGCTCCCAGCCACTCCACTTTTCTGCCTGTGCTCCGGGGCAAGCTAATTCCCTTCCGTGTCTTGTTTCTTCATCTGAAATGGATGTTGTGACCATTAGCAGGTAGGATTCCAAGGCTGGGAAGGCAGGTAGGACACCCAGAGCCCTGCTTACTCCAGGGCCAGGTGGGGCGCCCCGAGCGGCAGCAATGCCCTGTGGTCAGCGTCGAGTGCCGAACAGCTGCCACCACGAGTTCCCGGAATGAGAGAGGTTGGTATAGGATGCTGGATCTGAACCTAGAGCTACCCTGGCCTAGCGTCTGGGGTTTGACTACTACACCTCCCCCTCTTACAGGCTCCCGGGAGGGGCCGGCCTCAGTGCTGGTCTTGTTTTCCACCACGTGGGAAAAACAGGTTCCCGGTGTCAGGGTCCTGCCCTTGGCCCCACAGCATGGCAGGGTCTCTCTACTGCAGTGGCATGAGGTGCCCAGAGGCACTTGGAAAGTGGGATCATCACCAGATTGGGGCACAAGCTGGTCTCCCAAGTAAGTCCCAGTGGCCATGGGGGTTTGGCGGGAGCCCCTCTGGCTGAGAGGAGCAGCTGCTTCAAGAAGCCAGGAAGGCCCTAGCCAGATTGGCTCAGTGGATAGAGCGTCGGCCGCCGGACTGAAGGGTCCCAGGTTCAATTCTGGCCAAGGGCACATGCCTAGGTTGTGGGCTCGATCCCCAGTAGGGGGCCTGCAGGAGGCAGCTGATCAATGATTCTCTCTCATCATTGATGTTTCTTTCTCTCCCTCTTCCTTCCTCTCTGAAATCAATAAAAATATATTTAAAAAGGAAAAAAAGAAGCCAGGAAGCTGGGGGGCTAGGAGAGAAGTGGGGGGTGGCCACATAGCAGACACAGTAAGCCCTCCACATGACATTTCAGAATGATCCCCTCACCCCAGTTTCTTCTTCCAGACATTCACCCTCGTCTGCAGAGCAGGCAAATCTGGCCTGTGCCATGTACCTGCCCTGTGACCTGGGCCAAGCCCCTTCCCTCGAACCTCGGCTCTCCCTGTGAGGTGGGCTGACCCTCCAGCCTTCGGGGAATCAGATGACATCATGTAATGGTTGGCCAACGGCAGCGCGCCGCACAACCACAGCAAACATTCCACGCGGACTTCTTGGTGCCAGGTCTGCCAGGGAAAGGGATGATTCAGAACAACCCGCCCCCCCCCCCAGGGGAGGAGTTAGGGTTGGGGGAGGATCAGATGGTGGGAAGGAAAGAGAATGCAGTCAGAAAACAAAGCAAGCTTTGTTTTATTGCCGCCTTTGTTTTTATCTTGTTATTTAACCTATTTTGAATTTCAAATAACATTGAAAGGGCAGTATTGAGATTTTTATGCTTGGAGGTGGCAGCAAAGTTATAAAAAAAAAAGTTGAGACTCGGATCTAGGTGTTCTTGTTAAAGACTATTATCAGTGTTTGCCAGCTGGAGTCCCAGGCACCTGGAGGTACGTGACTTGCCCAAGGTCGCATGGTGAGGCCACGGAACCCCCCACCCACCCTCACTCGGAAGGGAGCAAGGGGTGATCTTTTAGCACGAAGGTTATCCTGTGGCACAAAGATCTCCTGATGAAACCGGTATTGGTTTAGCACTTGCCACGTGCAGAGACCAAGCTGGGTGCTGGGAAGGAGGAAGGCAGGAAAATCCAGACAGGTGCCCCACCCTCCGAGTGCGCTGCCAATCTGGGGAGAGACAAGACTGGGCTCCGGGAGCCCGTCAAAGGCTCTGTGAGTCAGAGGCTCCGAGTTCAAGTCTCGACTGGCTCTCTCCATGTGACCTTGAGCAAGCTTGGCCTTCTCTGGGCCCCCATAAAACGGAGGTCGGACCAGACAGAGGCCCGTAGGTGTCCTCCAGCCGGCACTTTCTAAGATACTAGAAGGGATAGGGTCAGACCAAGAGGAGTTCAGACAAGATTGGGGCTGTGGTGCCATCAGGAGGGGAGGCAGTGGGCAAGGGGTAATAGCTTTGGGTGCCAGCTGAGCTTTTCCTAAACTCGTTCCTGATGACAAGGCTCCTACATCACTGAGACAAACTGTGACCAAGTCCTTTCCTGCCGGCCTTCCCAGAGCCTCGCAGGAGACATCTGGAAAAAGCCACTTCTGACCACAGGATCCTCTTCTCAGGAAGCACCTTGAAGGCGGAGGGTCCTTCGGAACCTCTGCGTGGGCTGTTTACACAGCCATTCACAAAGGCTTCGACGGGCACCCTCTCCCTCCTGGCCACTCAGACTGGCAGACAATTTAACCTACAGAGAAGGGGGGGGACTTGCTCAACCCGCCCGCGGGAGGCAGTGTAGCTTGGGGTTCAAGGGATCTGGGTGGAGGGGGTCCTGCTTCACCGTTTCCCCCTGTGTAGCCTCAGGCAAGTAATTTCACTTCTTTGCCTTCCTTTCTCCCCTCTAATATCGTGCTCCCTGGGGGCTGTTGTGTGAGTTAAATGAATGATGAACATGGCATGGGCACTTAGTAGGTGCTTTATCAATGGGCCCTGTGTAATGACCACACACAGTGGAGGTGTACAGCCCTGTGAGTTTTTGTGCTCCCAGTCAATACCTGCTCAAAGGCAACCCCAACTCTGATGTCTGCCTCCGGTGTCCAGTTTTGCCTGCTCTTCCGTGTCCTGTCCATGGGTTCACACCGTGTGTCCTCCTCTGTGAGGGTCAGCACTTCGTCGGTGCTCCCCACCCCTATTGTCGGCGGTCAGCGTGTTCTCTTTGGCGGTTATTTGGCCCCAGGGTCCCCAGGCCTCCCATCACCTTTCTGTCTTTCCCTCAGGTCTCCAGCTGGACGGGAGAGGGGCCGTCCACTAGGCGTGCCTACCCTGTCCTTGGACAGAACATCGACGGCTGATTCCACGGGGCCAGGAGCCAGGCCTCAGGGAGAGACCGGCCATGGGCCCCACACAGCCTCAGCATTTGGGGGCAGCACCTTAGGAAAACAGGAGCAGCCTCCGTCCACCCTTTACACCGAGAAGAAGGGACCTGCCACGGACCCCCCGCCTGTCCGGGGCCCCAGCTGGGCATGGACCAGCACCTGTGACCTGCCAGAGCTGATGCCGGGCCCCCAGGGGGCCAGAGGAGCCCCCACCATGAGCCTGGGCAAGCTCTCACCCGTCGGCTGGGTGTCCAGCTCGCACGGGAAGAGGCGGCTGACCGCAGACATGATCAGCCCCCCGCTCGGGGACTTCCGGCACACCATGCACGTAGGCCGAGGCGGGGACGTCTTTGGCGACACCTCCTTCCTCAGCAACCACGGGGGCAGCTCCGGGGGCACCCACCGTTCGCCCCGCAGCTTCCTGGCCAAGAAGCTACAGCAGGTGCGCAGGGTGGGCGCCCTGCCCCGGCGGATAGCCTCCCCGCCTTCGGCCTCGCCCGCTCCGCCCGCCGTCTCCCCCATCATCAAGAACGCCATCTCCCTGCCCCAGCTCAACCAGGCCGCCTACGACAGCCTCGACGGCCTCATGGTGAGCAAGCTCAGCTTCAACAGCAGCCCCGCCGGCTCCGCGGACGGCCACTCCAGTTACGGTGAGCGCCTGGGTGGTTTGCCCGTTTTTCCGACGCCGAGACCCAGAGGGTTGAATGGTTCAACCAAGCCTCTAAGGGAGCTGTTTTCCCCATAGTCGTGTGGTCCTACCATGGAGCTCAGGCCCAAACCCCAGACCGTGGAGGGGGAGAGGGAGGGGTCAGAGGGTGGGAACCAGCCGTCTCCCCAAAATACACAGACAAATCTGGACAACCACTCACGTGGACAGACGCCAGAGGCCCTTCCTGCTTGGTGGGGAGGGAGAGGCAGATGCTGTCTTGGTGCCACTGGGCAGCTCACCTGGGAGCCAGGGTTCTGGCTCCTGCTGCCACCTAGTGGCCATTCCCTGCCCCGCAGCCTTGCCCCACCGCCCGTTGCCTCCAGTGCTCCGGCTGCGGGTCTCTGCTCAGAACCCCGCTGAGGGCTGGAGCCAGGGGCTGGACTTCCCGGGGCATCCGTGGAGTCTGTGACTTCTAGGCAGTCAGCCCCTGGCTGCTGGTTTCATCACTGTGACCAGCCCACCTTCAGCATCAGCCACATGCCAGGAGAGCGGGGGCACGGCTGACGTCACCGTGGGAACTGAGACGGAGATCTGGGCTTCAGTCTGGGTTCTGCCGCCTCAGACTGTGGCCCCGGGCCAGCCCTTCCCCTCTGAGCCTCACTTTCTTCATCTGCAAAATGGGAATGAGGATCGTGTCCGTGGTCAGCTTCCAGGACCACATGAGCGACCACTGGGTTCCCTGTGTTGGAAAGACGGGAGGAGCTGAGTCCAGAGCGGGGAGAGACTTGCTAGACAGAGGGCGCATAGCAAGCGGGGTGGCTTCTGGCTCTCCCCTCCCCGGGTGCTGGTCAGGGACCCCAGCCCTGACCCCGCTCCCCACTTCCCTTCTAGGTCTGGACTCTGGGTTCTGCACGATCTCCCGCGTGGCTCGCCCGGAAAAGCCTCGTGACCGAGACCGTGACAGTGCCTTCCCCTCCGAACCTGAGCTTCGCCGCTCTGACTCCCTCCAGTCCTTCCGCCTGGACCTCGACCTTGGGCCGTCTCTCCTCAGTGAGCTGCTGGGGGTCATGAGCCTCTCAGAAGGCTCTGCAGCTGAGACTCCAGC